CCAAGGAAGATGGGATACACACATGATGGCAGATTACTGCTGGAGTTTAAAAAGGGACTGTTCTAAAATACATTCAAGAAAGTCACGAAAAAGAAGCTTCCGTAGTGTTCCGTGACTATAGTTGGTTTGACTGTTATATATAGTCGATGATTTTTTCCTCTATCTTTGTATTTAATATAATAAAATAAAAATATAATTATAATATAGTAATAAAAATTCCATGTTGAGTTTTTTTATTTGATCCACTGATTTAACTTATATTTCACCAAAATGTTATATCTTAAAAATTTGAGATCCTAGGCAAAAACTAATGCCATATTTGAATTCAGGGCATCAAATTCATATGAAATCAGCTCCAAATACCCCGGCACCAAAACAGCTGTTGGCCTGTGTAATTGTTGCAACGCTGATGTGGTGTTCAGTGTGCCATAACCTAGTAACTAATGTGTCTTCAGATCAAACCATTCTGGCTTTCGGTGGACATGCCACAATAATAAAAATTTTATCACTGACATTCCACAAAAACCAGGTCTCTCCAAGGAGTTGTAATGCATAAACTATAAAACTGAAAATGTCTTTTATTTGAAAGCCTCGCTCTAAGCTGAAATTATAATTTAAGAGCATAAGATCTTGGAATATATTCCAGTTAGGGATAATTTTTTTTTGGCAGAACAGAATATAGGCCTGAAATGAAGAGTCTCATTTATGTTATTCAGCAACTTAAGTGACTTGATATTCTGCATGTTTGAATTACGTTCCTCCATAAAAAAATATTAACATTTTCCACTTTCAATATAATTTTTCTGCGACTGACAAAACCAAAACTGCATGTTAGTTGAAGATTATAAGAGTCTTGCTGGTGTTCCTTCTGACTCTCCAACAAAGAAACTACCCAGAGAAGTTTCCACTCTGATGCCGTATGACTTAGAAGTATAATTGATATAAAATTCCCACACATATTTTGTGGGGCTCCAGCCTCTGGAAGGAGTTGGAGCTGTGTATTATCACGAACAAAATTGGCTACTCTTTTTTGTTCTCCTGATCATTTTTTGTTAGAAAATAGTCAACTGCATGATTGACTGATTGGAAATGGTTCAAGATGGCTGCCATTGGTGTCCTGCTTGATTCTTACTCCGAGCAATTTAGTCATGACCAAGCTTATCATGGTGTTTATAGATGCGATAATTGTGTCACGTTAGAAAGCCAGTTAAAAGATGCTTTACTAGAGTTGAGTTCGTCTAAATTTATAATCAAGCTGTTATATAAAGAATTAAATGATGCTTCAGCAAAAGCATAAGACTGTCAATGAAAGTGGTTATATCAGCAGAAAGTTTATGTGAAACCACTAATGAACAAACTTCAATCGAACCAAAGTGGGCTGATATAGTGACTGGAAAGCACAAGAGAATTACCAATGGTAGACAGGAAAACATTTATAGAATACCCATCATAAATAATCGCTATAAATTACCTTGCAATAGTGAAGTCCGCGAAACCCAGCTCTTTAATTCAGCCAAGAATCACCAAGTAAGAAAACAATACAGCAAACATCACCAAAAAAGAAGCAGCATAGGATTTTAATCATCAGCGATAGCCATGGAAGAGAATGTGCATCCAAGGTAACGTACAACTTGGGCAGTGATTTTGAAGTACAGGAGATCATAAAGTCAGGTGCTGATCTACTGGCCACCACAAACACAGTGAAAGAAGAGGTCAAACTCTTGACAAAAAAATGATGTGACAGTAATATGGGGAGGCACAAGAGACGTAGGCAGAAATGAGACCACTGGTGGCTTAAATCAGTTGAAAGACTTCTTCAAGAAAAATAACCATACGGACATCATCCAGATGAGTGTACCACACAGATATGATCTACAGTCAGATTCCTGTGTAAACAGAGAGAGAAGTCTTCAATAGAAAATTGGGTAAACTGGTGAAGGCTTTCGAACATACAGCTCTGATAAAGCTACACTTAAATAGAGAACTATTTACATAACATGGCGTACACATGAACGACAAAGGGAAAGAATTGGTTGCCAAGAAGATAATGTCTACTATAGAAGACATGCGACACAAAAAATAGAAGGATCAATCAGCATGACCCGAAAAATCACACAAGAAGCACGACGACAAGATATATGAAGAAGACAGAAACAGCCCAGAGTTGAATCACGATGCAGTCAACCCCGTTTTATCAAGAAGACTTTGGAAACCATCCTCTACAAGAAAGGACAAGGTTGGACTAAGTGCAGCACCAGACACAACAACTGCTACAAATAAGCCAGGAGGAAGTACATCACCAGAAGAATGTACACCATGTCCAGAAAATTCAACAACTTCTACACCTTGTGGGGAAGTTACAGAAGATACAGTCCATGAAGAGGCTACTCAACTAGAATACATGAGAAGGCTGCAGAAACCCAGGGGAACGAAACAGAAAACTTCAGCAGACCCATCCCTTAACTGTGCGGTGCTATTTGAAAGAGATCAAGAGCAGGAAGTTTGTATGTCTACCAGACAAAGGAGGCCCCCAGTATTNCATCAAGAATAATAATAATAATAATAATAATAATAATAATAATAATAATAAAGTCAATGCAAACATTCAGATATTCCATCAAAATGTGCAAAGTCTAATAAAAAGCTAAATATGGATGTGCTACTAACAGATAAAGCACTAGAGTTGGACATACTATGTATCACCGAACACTGGTTAGAGGAAAAAGAAACAAGTTATTATAATTTTGAAAACTATTCCCTTATATCAAAATTCTGTAGGAACAATAAGCAGCATGGAGGCTCATGTATCTATGTCAAAACAAATTTAGAAGCAAAGCCTTGTAACTTGTTTGAAAACTTGAATCAAGAAGAACACTCTGAGGCTAGTATAATCGAACTTATCCAGTTTAATACAATTATTATCTGTGTATACAGAACTCCAAACAGTAATATTAATATATTTATTGAAACCATGGACACAATAATTAGTAATTTAATAAACAAAGGGAAGAGCATCTCAACATAGATTTCCTAGGAAGAAGAGTAAATCTACAATTACAGACAATGTTAAACTCATATGGCTTGCAAGCAATAGTTGATGTCCCAACGAGAATAGGACCTAGAAGTCAAAGAGCATTAGATCAAATAATACTGAACAAGGGATAATGGGAATACAATCTTAAGGTGATTGAAACAGGATTTTCTGACCATAAAGCATAGATACTACAAATACAGATACAGTATAAGAATAAAAAGGGGCAAGTTAGACTAAAGGAAGAATTCAGAATAGCTAGATCTTACAGGGAAGAGACTGTACAATACCTAAACTAACTACTAGAAAAAGAGACTTCGGAGCTTGTTTTAAGCAAAATTCAGCGAATGAGGCATACAATGAATTTTTAGGAACTTTACAGTTTATTATGATATAGCTATGCCTAAAAAATGGGTAAAAACTAAACAGCAGGAAAATAAATGGGTTACCTCAGGAATAAGGGTATCGGGGAATAGACTCAAGTTTCTTAATAGTCTAATGAAAGAAGGAAATATGCCAGAAGAATTTAAAGAATACTATTGTCATTACAAAGAAATATACTACAAAGTTATCAGTGAAGCAAAAAAAATAACTAATAACATGCAAATAAGAGCATCAGGGAATAAATCAAAAGCCATGTGGGGCCTAGTTAAGGAGGAACTAGGTCAACAGAAAAAAGCAACGAAGAATACTGAAATAAGTGAGAATGGAGTAAATACAAGATCCAAAAGCTACTGCCAATGTCTTTAATGAATACTATACCAGTATTGGCCAAATGGTATTGAGTGGCAATCCATTATCCAAAACCACTGAAGTTAATGTCAATACAGTAAAATATAATAGCAACAGCATTTTCTTAACCCCAACTACTGAAGAGAAAGTGGCAGGCATAATTAAATGATTGAGTAATAAAAAAACCAACAGGAATAGACAATATTCCAGAGTATATCATTAAAAAATGTTATCCTAAAATAACAACCGCTTTGACACATATAATAAATCTATCACTCTCAAATGGGCATTTTCCTGATCAACTAAAAATTGCAAAAGTGAAACCTTTGTATAAGAAAGGATGTGACGGGAATTATAGACCAGTTTCACTAATTTCTGTTTTTTAAAAAATAATACAAAAAATCATACGTAAAAGACTTTTATCATTTTTTTAATAATTACAGCATAATTAACAATAAATGGCATGGTTTCTCTAAAGGGAAATCAACAAATACTGCAACTGCAGAGTTTATAGAAAGGGTCTACAAATCACTGGATGAGAGGCAAATAAGTATAGGGATATTTCTGGATCTGTCAAAGGCATCTGACTGAGTTGATCATGATATATTGCTAAGGAAGATGACAAGAATGGGAATAAGAGGGGTAGCACTAAAATGGTTTCAATCATATCTAGAAAACAGGGAACAGAAAGTGGAAATTACATACAGATGTAAAGAAACTGCTGAAATCACTATCTATCTATCGCGAAAGAGACACACAGGACATGGAGTCCCACAAGGTTCTGTTCTCGGACCAGTGTTGTGTTTGCTATATATCATTGATCTAGAAGCCGGCACTGAACATGGAAGACCAACGTTTTTTGCTGGTGATACTAGTATCCTTATAGCAGGAAGTAGTGCTAATGATGTCCAAAGGAAAATAAATAAAACAATAAATGCACTCACAGAGTGGTTTGAAAGGAATAGATTAACTAGTAATAAAGAAAAACCAACATCAATACCCTTTCATCAACCTCAAAAAGTACACGTTGAATGCCCATCAGTAAAGCTCTATGATGCAGTCATCAATTATACAGAACATACAAAATTTTTGGGAGTTTGGTTGGACAAGAATCTAACGTGGACTGCACATACTCAACAACTAGCAAATAAATTATGTAAAATATGTTTTGCCTTTCGAGTAGTCAAAAGAGTGTCAGGGTTAGAGATTGTTCGCACCTTATACGTAGCACGTCCACAAACTAAGTTTCCCACTCATCCCACAGCTAGCAAACCTTATACTGCGCAAAGCGACTGCGCGTACGTGATAGAGCAATGACGTAGCATGGCGCAGGCACAAATGGAATTTCCTGCATTCCCACAGTAGCATCGTTGCAGCTGTTGAAGATGGAGGCTCTTATTCCAGGTCCCACCGACTGTGAAGTGCGGTCAGTGATAAAGTTTTTCAATGCACAGAGCACAGCACCGATCGAAATTCATAGTCAGCTGTGCCGGGTCTATGGGCCTAACGTCATGAGCAAGCAGATGGTGCGTCGCTGGTGCAGACAATTTTCAGCAGGTCGACAAAGTGTGCATGATGAGAAGCGCAGTGGGTGGCCATCCATCATTACAGACAACCTGGTGGAGCTTGTGCGGGAAGACATTATGAATCGTTGCGTCACAATTGCGGAACTCAGCAGTCATGTTCCACAGATTTCCCGCTCCTTGTTGCACGAAATTGTCACAGAGCATCTGTTGTTCAGGAAATTGTGCGCCAGGTGGGTGCCGAAGCAACTGACACCAGAACACAAAACAAAGCGCATGGAGTCAGCATTGACCTTTCTGCAGCGGTACCATGACGACGGCAAAGAGTTACTGGGCCGGATCATTACAGGTGATGAAACGTGGATTGCACACATTACCCCAGAAACCAAGCAGCAGTCAATGCATTGGCGTCACAGTGGATCTGCCTGTAAGACGAAATTCAAGCAGACGTCGGCGCGGCAAGTGATGTGCACAGTATTCTGGGACAGATGGGGCGTTCTCCACGTCGACTTCCTGACCAGAGGTGAGACAGTGAATGCTGAGCGTTCCTGTGAAACACTGCAGAAATTGTGACGGGCCATTCAGAACAAGCGGCGCGGGATGCTTAGTGCCGGTATTGTCTTCCTGCACGATAAAGTTAGGCCACACATGGCTCGATGGACAGCAAGTCTCCTGCAGGAGTTCAGCTGGGAGGTGTTTAATCATCCACCCTACAGCCCGGACCCCAGACCTCGCTCCCAGTGATTTCCATCTTTTCCTACACCTCAAGAAATTCCTGTCCGGTGAGTGTCAGCGTTTTGAGAATGACAGAGGCGGAGATGGTTGTCACACAGTGGTTCCAATCCCAGGCGGCAGACTTCTACGACACAGGTATTCAAAAGTTGGTCCCACGGTATGACAAATGTCTCAATTCCGGGGGCAATTATGTTGAAAAATTGCTGAACACTTGCTGTATCTGTTGCAATAAATATTTCCATGAAATTGTGTTTTGTTTCTGTAAACAGCCCCAGGGAAACTTACTTTGTGGACGAGCCTCATATTATGCTTATTTTCAATCCTTGTTATTATATGGATTGATATTTTGGGGCAATTCAGGAAATGCAAAACTGATTTTCAGGTTGCAGAAGAGAGCTGNCACACAATACAAGGAGAAAAGATGACTTGTTCACAGTGCCATGTAATACGAGTCTATACAAAAAAATTTCAATAATATTGGGCTTCATATGCTAAATCAGTTGCCACAATATATTAAAGAGATACCAGTACTATACAAGTTTAAAAAGACTTTTAAGACATTCCTACTTTATCATTGTTTCTATAGCATAGACGAGTTTCTCTTGTTTGGGGACAAATCCCAGTTCTGATCACTTGTAAACATATATTTCAAGAATAATTAACTTGTAGATTTTAATATTAGTACATGTTATAGGAATGCCTACTGCCCTGTTCTGTATTTTTTTCTTACAGGAACGAGATCAAGGATACCAGGGTATTTTGTGCCAGGATAGAAGGATCGGGTCTTGAGGCATACAGCGGTGTCGTGTGTTGAACGATTATATTAGTTCTATTATTAGAATCATCATTGTATTATCTTAGTATATTATTATATTATTTATTATATTATTATTATTTATTGTAAAGTATTTGACTTGTCCTATATCATGTATAATGATCCATGGATATGAAGTAAATAAATAAATAAATGACTGAAGTTACCAGTCACTATGCAAGTAATCTGCAAATGTCGTTACTTTTTGGTATGCATCCGTTATGTTGATGGTCATACTGCAGCGTAACATGCCAGTATTAACAACTGAATTTCATAACATGATGCTGTGGAAATAAAACACTGGAATACTGTGCCACACCCAACATGAAATTTAGCTGTATAGTATTCCTTCCAATACTACCCATACTTGCTTATCTACTTCTGTCTCACCACTCTGTAGCCTTTTCTAAAGAGGTAAAAGTTGTTTCTGAGCTTAATTAATTAATTAATCACTATGCCATGAAAGCATATGGGGGAGTGCTAGTACAGCTCCACCATTCTTTAACTTGGCACAATATGAAGTTGAGCAGTCAGCTTCATGCCCCAGATGCTTTATCCACTGGGGAATAAGGCCCCAGAACCCAGTGGACCGAAGGTTGTCTGGCCTTGGGGCTGGTCTGGACAAAGTGGAAAAAAGAAAAATCTCTTGCCCTTACCATTAATCAAACCCTGGCCACCCAGCCTACAGCCCATCACTATACCAGCTGAGCTATCATGGCTCCATGCAGCCCCTTCTACTTAACATTTAATACAGAAGCCACATGTATAAATATTAACCACGCAATCATTAGAACACATTGATTACCTTAGCAACCTCATCTTTGAGACCTGCACTGTCCTTACTATCTTCATTGCTGGCTGCAGGGTTTTCAACTGTACTGATTGTATGCATATCACTCTCTGGGTCCAGTTCCTTGCGTCTTGGTTGCATGAAGTTCATGAGATATTGGCGCCGCTTTTTGCGCCATCGCTTTGATGGATATGTATAAATCTGACCTTCCGTCAGGCCTGGGATACGCTGACGTGGACTCATGAATAAGTTGGAGTGATTCTGTGCCACACCTGGAGCAAGCGTAATCATTACCACACTATTAACGACCTTATTACACAAAATAAATTAAACACCATGCAAAAGATCATACATAACTCCTTGAGATTTCAACATCATTCTTCCTGCATTTTCACTTCTCATTAATTACATTCATTTACTGCAGAAATATATACATATTTCTTTATAGATAATGAATAGTACATATTTGAAACTGCAGATGGATTGTGACCTTGACAGTACTTTCTTACTCAGAGACTTGTGTCAGTGACAACTCAGAAATTCACGTGTTTGAATTGTTTCTTGGTTCTCACTGTGGGGAATTAAAAGGCACAAAGGCCTATATTTGCAAAGCACTGATACCTAGTTTCACGAAAGTCAGTCAACTGCTTAACAACTTGAAAGGAGGGAAATACTGCTGATATTGTGATGTCATAAACTACCTTTCGTTCCTTACAAAAGGGAACTAGGCTAAAATCCGGCAACTTATCCTTTAATTTGAAAGTATTGACACAAACTGTTACTATGACTGCTAAAAAATTTTCATGTATGAATCATTTATATCACCTGCCACCAACAGCATGGCTCTTTGCCTGTTATCATCACAAATCAGATGTATTGTCAAAATGAGAAATGAACTTGACAGCTAAGGACCCCTTTCCCAATATAATATTCAATAAAATAACAACTAAAGAAACTGAAAATGTTATCTCTTCTTTGCATTCAAAAAATTCTTCTGGATATGATGAGATTTTGATGAAGACACTAAAAATTAGTGCCCCATACATTTCTTCCCCTTTATGCTATATATTCAATAAAGCAGTCTTAGTTGGTAAATTCCCCTTGCGTATGAAAAACTCGATTGAAACTCCTATATACAAGAAAGGTGATAAGAAGAACTATGCAAATTATAGACCAATCTCATTGTTAACTTCATTTTGTAAGATGTTTGAAAAAATAATATTTAGAAGATTATTGACACACGTTCACACTTATGACATTCTAGCCAATGAACAATTTGGGTTTTGCCCCAAATTATCCACTGAAACAGCTTCATATAACTTAATAAATACAGTCTTAGCAGCTATTAACAATAAAGAAAAAGTAGGTGAAATCTTTTCTGATTTGGAGAAGGCTTTTGACTGTGTAAATCATAAAATACTTTTATATAAACCTGAACATCTGAACGTCAATGTAAACCCCCAACAATTTATTTGCAGATGATACTAGCATAATCATCAGTAACCAAAACAATAATGTACTAAGAAATAACTTGAAGTCAGTCTTCACTAGTGTGACGAAATGGTTTAAGGCAAATTTACTCTCATTAAAGCTGGACAAAACCTGCTGTATGGGATTCCACTCTAAAGATATTATTAATTCTGAAATACAAATTAAATATAACAACAAAATTATTGCTAATACTACTGAATTAAAGTTTCTTTGGCTAGTACTTCACAATACTCTGTCTTGGAAGAGTCACACCGGTATGTTGGCTTCCAAATTAAACAAAGCATGTTATATTGCAAGAGCAATCAGACCTTTCTTATCTTTAAATTCCCTAAAGATAATCTATCATGCTTATTTTCATTCAGTTGCAACATATGGATTAATTTTCTAGGGAACTTCTTCCCACAGTACAAATATTTTCGAACTCCAGAAGCGAATGGTTAGAATACTAATGGAAGCAAGACCCAGGGATTCTTGCAGAAAATTTTTTAAAATTTTAAATATACTACCTCTAGCATCACAGTACATACTCTCCTTGGCTCTGTTTATGGTTACCAATAAATCATTCTTTAGACAAAATTCTGAACTTCATAATTTTAATACCAGGAATAATTCTAACTTTTTTCAAGTAACAACCCACTTGACGATGTTTCATAAAAGTCCTGCCTAAGGAGGCCTTAAGATATATATAACCATCTTCCAGCTGACATTAAGGACTTGGCATGGGATATTAAAAGCTTCAAAAAACCATTAAAAAAGTATTAGCATGAGCATTCTTTTTATACTGTGGGTGAATTTTTATGCATAAACCTATATAAGTATTTCTGATTGTAATAGTAACATCACTGTGTCAGTATTTACAATGTTCTATTCTATGAATTTTTTATGCATAAAACTAGATATATTTCTGATGGTAATAGCAACATCATTGTATAAGTATTTACAGTGTTTTATTATGTTTATTTTTTCGACAAAATCTTTTAATGATTGCATGTCTTATTTATCATTATTTATTAATATTGTACTGTGTTGTGTTTTTGTCTTTTCTATATCCAATGGTTGTACCAGTATGGATCAACAGAATAAATTAAAATTGAAAATATGTACTTTTTATTATTGCTGACATGCTTGATCTTGGCTCTATAAGTGACATCAAAAGCTTTTAAACTTCAAACAATACGAGAATATATCTCTACATTATAACTAAAATATTTCAGTGGGTCAAATCAAAACTTGCAACTTACCTGTTTGAGAGTCCAAGAATGGCATTCGAAGCCTTCTCTCGATACATAATCTTGTGTTATAATTGGCAGAATTTTCTATTGCTTCTCGGTATGAAGGATCACTGAGAAAACTGGAATGAAAATAAGAGTATGTGAAACAAAATACTTCATTTAAGTACAAATATGCCTCTTTTTCCATTAAAGTAAACGTAAAGGTATCCCTGTAACAGGCCCTGGAGGACCATAAGGTTGTGAGATTTTGAGGTTCCCACATTTTCTAGGCAACCGGCTCACAGATGGCGGTAAAGTTGTCAGTCCTATGCGTCGGCCGCCCTTTACCCCCAAGAATATTCCTGGTACTCATTTCTGTTAGAAGCTGAGTCGACCCCAGGGCCACAGTGCGGCTGGGAGGATTAGGGAAATTGAAAAAAAAAAAATCCAATGGCCTCATCGGGATTCGATCCCGCGATCGTCCGGCTTGCAGCAGTGCTTTCAACCAACTACGCTACCGCGTGCCCCCCTTTTTCCCTTAAACTCTTCAATTCAGGTGTGGTTCTTCTAGTCTTCTTTTGTGCGTGACTAAGTAGGAATATGTGGTGCATACATTTGCGCGAGTGAAAATGCAAGTCTGTCCCCATTTTAGGAACATCAGGAATCTATCTCTTTCTCTCTCTCGCGCGCGCGCACACACACACACACACACACAAACGGGACTCAGCCCTACCATTGCCCAGGAACAAGTACGAAAACTATTACAGCATCAAGCATAACACCGAGATTGTGGAATGAAACCTGTACTTCCAAAATACAAAGTCATTACAACGGCAAGTTCGGGATAAGGTTGCAAAGGTAACCTCCATGTCAACTCACGCATAGAAAGACTGGATACGCCTAAAATATGCAAAACCTATGCTTCAGAACTCACCTCTCAATTTTACTTAATATAGTCGGATTACAAACTTGTATTCCACATGTCGCCATCACACTAAACACGAAAATATAATAACTTCAGCCACAACCAACGCCCTCGACATAAACGACATAAACCTTACCATTCAGATATATATATATATCACAGACATTGTATTGATCGTTGTTCCATACGTTCCATACCACGGACGCCACAGTTTTCACCGGTTTTCACAGCAGCGGTCCACGGTTGTCATGGATCAGAATTAACTAGCACGATGTGCACCGAAATCTGCATCAGGATATACTCAGGTTAAGGTGCCAAAATTACAATATACAGCCCGCAAATAAGTATCCACTTACATGTTGCATATTAGCTGTACGCTGGTATTTTTCAGTTAAATTCGTTTAAAACCCCTGTAGCAGGTTCCCTAGGCAACATCTATCATGGCGATCATGGCTACCGCAAGTACAAATTTGAAACATCGGTCCGACATCGACAAATATCGGTATGAACATTGTCACTCAGGCCCGTCATTTTAAATTTATTGTATTCATTAATACAAACATGATGTACGCGCGAACTCGCGAGGTGGGAGGAACAATTGTAGCAATGAATCTCTAGCAGCATATAACTGCACACCTCCCTGAGGCAGCATTTTGGGAGATTGAGCGATATTACGTTAGCTTTGTATGACACACCACAGCGAATCTCCATCCTGGCTTTTAACTGGGGCAGCAATTGCTGAGACTAAGTAATCTAAGGTTAAGTTAGGGCAACATACCATATCACTACCAGCTATTCCTACTGGCGCAGCTGCTTCCAACAGCATTAGGTTTGAAAAGCTTACAAATGATTGATATCCTCAGATATTCGAATATTCACAAACTTCGCAGAAATTCCACAAATTTACCTTGATTTAAAAATTTTGGATTCCAGAAAATTTAGTATCTAAATGGGTTTCTTAAAATCGATTTTAATAATTCTATTATTTGAAATTTTGAAAATGTGCAAAGTATTTAAACATCCAAAAACCTAAATTCATTTATAAGAAAATGCATTGCACTACCAATTAGGTCGCCAATATTTCTGGAACGCTGTCAGTTTATTCATCAATATTTGTTCTACACGAGGTCGTACATATTTATGTTCCTTTCAAGCTGTCCATAATTTCACACTATTGGACATGTACTCATTCCTAAGTATGTTTGAACATCCCACTGGAGTATGAATACAGTGTTGAACGTATGACTGTATAAGGGGTGGGCCTTCTTGGCCCTTGCACCACAACCTACAGTGACCTATCATGCTTTCCCTTTTGATTATCCCCTCAGCAATCCTGCACTTTGAATGAAGCGCAGCATGAATACAGTGTTGAGTGATAGGAAGTATTACAAAGAAAGAAATGTAGTTCTACTGCTGAAGTATGGTTATATCACAAACTGACAATTGTTTTCACAGTAATTGGAGTAGGTAATTGTTAATATATTGCATTTGCCATCCGGGAATTTTTCCTCTGTATAGCACAGGATTAGTACTAAAACTTAAAATTCCATGCCTAACATTACAAATATATCAAATTGCCCCATTAGCTGATCATGCAAGACATAAATTTACATCAATCCTGAAACTATTTATGGGCACCAAAATAAGAGAAATGGCCATTTAACCGGTAAAGTCCCACCTGCAGCATACAGCTTTCCTATTCCCACAACACCAACTAAACAGCATTAAATTAACAGAAATAACACACTGCTCTTGCTTCCACCTTAATACAAATGGCTTGGTAAGATGGTAAAACATGATTTACAGATTTAATTATTGTAAAGATCTCGTGGATGTCGGCAGTGGTTCAGGCACATCTATAAACGATCCCTATTGGAGTTATACAGGATCATTCATTGGATGCACAACTTTTCATCTGCAAGGTTGCTTGCACAAGTACTGCCAGATCCCACATTCATAATATACACCTACTGTCTGACTACAGAAATGTGGACAACAAAACAAATCCATTTAGCCTGTGTAGACTATGAAAAAGTATTTGATGGAGTGGATGGGTTTGAACTATTGGAAATTGTGGGATGAGAGGATACTGAAAACATCTAATACAAACAGTACAGCCCATCTGAGATATAGTAAAAATAAGTCAATGTGTAAGATAAAGCCATGGTCTCCATCTGTGCATTTAACCTGACCTCATGAGAGAATGAATTGAATTGAATTTATTTACATTCTATAAATCCTAAGT